TAGGTTCCTTACAACAAAAAATCAAAGAAATCAGTTTGGCACATGTTTCCTCTTCTACTGCTTCGGAGGTTGCCGATTCCTTTATTTCTACCTTATAACGTTATACTTCTACCACTGCCTGGTTCCCCTCCCTTATCAATCTGGGTATATCAGCACTAATTATAATTTCCCTTTTATTTCTCTTTCCAGTCTTCGTCAAATTACTAAATAAGGGAATAAAACAAACTCACTTGGAATTGAAGACCCTACAATTGAAGGCCAAAAATAGAAAAGGGGGAGATGGTGCGAGCCAAGCTACTCATGCTGTTTGACAAAGTCCAAGTATGAGGGACAATCCTGAAAATCAGGAGACTCCACAGCTGGCTCCTGCTACTTCCTTTCATTTTATTTGCGGCAATCTTTATAATCATGAGATTTTTTCTGGGGTTTCATGATAAAATGATTTATAAATTTAGTTATGCCTATGCAAGCAATCATAATGAAACTGATTCCAAAAAGGCTGACGATGGGCCAAGAAGTAAAAATACCCAATGTCCTCCAATCTGTAAGGGAGCTGTTGGATCCAGGCCCAGTAAAAATTCCTATTGATGAGATTCCTCAGGCACCTCTGAAACATCAGGATTCTAGGAAAGGAAAATCTCATGTCATTCCCACAGTACAAGGACCTCCCTATGTTGCATACAAAATAGGAGGCCACCTTTGGTATGCCCCTCGAGGCAAGCCCTGGTGTACGATTAACTTCCTTACCCCTACTCCTCCCATTCCTTGTAATGGAGTTGATAATGAGGACATGAACAAATAGTATAAAGGAAAAAAGGGTGCGGGCATCATCTGTCAGCCTCTGGTTAAAGATTAAGAGGAGTAATCCTCCGTGGTGTCTATGGAGCAAGGACAAGAGACATATAGAAATGGAATGAGTACTTTGATAAGATAGGGTGCACACATTGTAAGCTGCCTTTGGAGAGAGAGTAAGCTTTAGGTACACCTTTAAGCAAGAGTAAAAATATAACTTCTTCGCATTAGCACACAATAGTAGATAGGTCACGCTTTGTCTCGCACTGCCACGCTCTGTTTAGCACCTTTGTTTTTAAATCCGGAATGGTTGCAATAAAATGTGAAAAACAAAATCACATGTTATAAAAGAATGGAAAAACAAGGAGATATTCTAATGAATAAATAAAATCCCTCTGAGGCTATCAGGCAGGAGATGCTTACAACCTGATCCTGTGTCTGTGTCTCCTCACTTGCCGACGCCGTCCTTTCCTTCAAGGAACACTTTCCTGCTGGAGCTGGACTCCGGCAACTTAAAGATTGGGTTTATTAGGTAGAGTGAAATAATGTAAAGAAGAGAGAAGCAGGAACAGACTTACAGGAGAATTAAGTGAAAACAGGTGAATTCCTCTCGGTTTGGATACACTCTAGTAAACACAAATGGACAATGGGTGAAGGGTAAAAACAGTGATAAATCAAAAACCAATCTGAAGATCCAACCAGTGATGAATCAATAATAAATTTGATAATGCCACATTTGATGTGTATACTCTGCCTGAAAATTGAGGGGCAGTGAAGTCTATAATAATACTCATGACGATTGTCGCTTCCTCCTTACCCTGACAGGTCAGCAAAATCTGTTGCAAAGTTAGGACACCTGTGCTCTTAAAAGATCATGTTGCCTAACGTGCATTTCTTACCTTTAAGTGAGGAATAAATCTTTTCTGAAAAATATTTTTCATTTTTAATATTTAGCTCTTTTTTTTTTTTTCTTCTCCTTTCTGGCTGATGCTCCTAGGAAAACAAAATCTAAAATCACTTTTGCATGGGGCGCCTCGGTGGCTCAGTCGTAAAGCGTCTGCCTTCGGCTCAGGTCATGATCCCAGGGTCCTGGGATCGAGCCCCACATCGGGCTCCCTGCTCCGCGGGAAGCCTGCTTTCCCTCTCCCACTCACCCTGCTTGTGTTCCCTCTCTCGCTGTGTCTCCCTCTGTCAAATAAATAAAATCTTTAAAAAATAAAATAAAATAAAATCACTTTTGCATTTGCAGCCCTGGACTCTAAGCACCTTGTAACACACCCCTCCTCCACCCACAGAGCCCACACCCCAACAAATCCAAGGTCTCAGACACCTTCCTAAGCATTCTCTCAACCTTATTCAAATTGCTTTCCAGGGCAAAGAATGTAGTAAGTTTGCCTTCTAGCTATCAGCCCCCTTCCCTTTGGTCTTCCACTCCAGAGGCTCTGACCCTAGATACAATGAGACACAGGTGGGGGATGGGGGAGAATTTGGCCCAGGTTTTCAGGCAAAGACCCCCTTCAGCAAAGAACAAAGCCTCTGGTACCTGCGGTTTAGAGAGCGGGCAAACTAAGGTCTTTGGTGGCCTTGACTGCACTCATTTACCAACTGTGCCAACTGAAAGCCAGGAAGTCAAGTTTTCTGCTTTTTAATTTACTTTTCCCCCAGTTTTATTGAGAAGTAATTGACATACGGCATTGTATTAGTTTAAGGTGCGCCAACACAATGGACTGATAGACATAGATGTTGCAAAAGGATTACCACAGTAAGTTTAGTTCACTCCATCCATCACTCACGTTCTCCCTTTAAAGGACTCATACTCTGGAATGAGACAGTGACGGTCGGCCTGAGCGCAATGTATTTCCACCCACCTCTTCCTTGACACTCGTGTTCCTACTCTTTTCCCTTCCGGAATGATGGTCTGAGAAGACAAAGAAAAGACTACAAAGAATCGATCTCTGTGCTTTGGTCCTGGCAAACCTCCTATGCTCACGGACTGGCATCCTCAAGGAGGAATATCTCTTTTCTAGAAGCAAAGCCAGCAGTTCTAGGTGGAGACCCAAGGAGCAGAGTGCATGCGAGGATTAGTCAGGCTTGCATCTCCGGAAAATACACAGTTGGAATTTGCTAAGGGTTTACTTGGAGGAGTGGGAGACTGGAAAAGAGGAAGAAATCTTAGGTTTCTCGGATATTGAATTTGAGAGTGGGGAGGAAAATTGAAAGCTGCAGACTGTTATCTTTGTCTATAAATACGTTCATGCTGAAACCCAACCATAAAAACTGGTTCTTTGGAAAACATACAGAAAAAAACAAAAACAAAAAACAAAAAACCAAATTTGAGAGCGGGGATGGAGTGGGGTTGCAGGACATGACAGAAATGCCAGGCCAGAGAAAGAAAAGTCGATTTAAAAGAGAGCCAGGTGGGGGTGGGGGGAAGAAAGGCCAGAAGAAGAGGTTTGCTTAGGAAGAAGAGATAGGAGGGCCCAACACAGACTCTAAAAGGAACTTGTCACAAACGCTTTGGCAAGACCATTTACAGGAATATCATTTGCTTAGGGGATGTTCTTCTTGACCTCCCTCTTTTCAACTGCGTTGGTTTACAGGTCAAGAAATTTCATTATTTTACATCTAGGAATGTCCCAGATAAAATTAGAAGGGGGTGCTCTCAATCTATCATGTTGTTCACTGGATTAAAATAATAATCACAAAAAAAGGCAATTTCAAACTTGGAGATCGTGAACGTAGGATAAAGATAGACTTTCTCTTAACGGCCCTCATTTGTAGATCACTGGTGTTGTCAACTATTATGAGCATTTAGTCTTTATTTTCTTTACTTTTTAGAGCCACGCAGAAAGAGGTACAGATGAGGAAACTGAGCCAAGAGTCTATCCAGCAATGGGTATATAGAAACTACTTACAAATTTCCCATACTGATGGCAGAAGCATAGTTACCTGCAGGGCACAAAGTCAGCAGGTCAGCAGGCTGCCGCTCCTTTCCTCTGGCTTTTGTTAAAAAGGAGACAACAGTCCTGGGGGAAAGACTTGTCTGTCTGTCCCTCTGAAAGCTAAAAAACAGTAAGAGGGTCTTGAAAACAAGTACTAGTTTTGATATCAACTGACACCTTAGGAACATACAACATGTGTCTTATTGTGACGTTAGGGGGACTTGAAGAGGAAAACAGAGCCACTGGTTCAAGTTTCCGCCAGCACCAGCTCAATTTTGAGACCCTAAGGGGTCTTAAATCAAGAAATTAATTGTTCTACTGGAAGGTTCAATCACCTGAGGTAGCCTCAGGTGCATCTTTGATTTGAAAAGTTGGAAACGCAGTGAACCCAGAAATATGTAATTGTTGGGTTTACCTTTTCTTAAGGTTCTGTGGCCCCGTTTCCCCGTTCCCCACCCAGTCTGGACTACCCGGCAGCTACCTTTTACATTACAATGGCCTTGGTGAGACTGGCAGACAGGATTAACTGAGAATTCGCAAGGGTGTGTGTGGGCGTGGGGCTGCCAGGAGGGGCGGGTCTGAGGATGGTGGAGCCTTCCTTATAAATCTAGAGCCTCCAAAATTTTCTCCTCTGGCTCCATTGGGCTGGTTGGCTCTTACAGTTGCAGTGGTGACTCACTTCATCCTGTCTTTCTCAGACTCCTAACCTCTGGAGGTCTTCCTACTCTCCTCAACTCTTCTACCTAGATCCATAAGCCTGGGCCTTTCTTGCAATCTCGCTCTTTTTTTTTTTTCCATCTACCCTCAACTCACCAACATGAGTGCCGATCCAGCTCTGCCCCAATGCCCGCCTGGCCCCGAAGCACCCAGTTCTAGGGACTCTTCTCCAATGCCTGAGATTTATGGGCCTGAAGAAAATGATGCGTCCCTGCAAATGTCATCTGCTGAGACACCCCACGCGGAGACCGGTAAGGGGAAAGGAATCCTCCAAAAGTTGCTTTCCTTGAGGGAAAGTGAAAGGAGAAGGAGGGTCAGGGTCCTTCGTTTCCCTCGTGAGCACTTATAGTCCAGTAATACAAGCGCGTGTCCTCAGTTAACCCTCTCAGCACCTGTCTCGGTTGTAAGTTGGTGGCGGGTGCCCGTTCACCTGTCCCAGGTGTCAGTCAAGAGACAAGGGCCCCAGGATGCGGGCATTTCGGCTGTTCACTGGGTATTGGAGGGCTTACGTGCACAGGCACTGTGGAAACGCAAATGTGTTGTGATAAATGAGCTGATGTCTAAATCTTCACGCAGTGCTGAGGACACAGTAACGGTGTTATGTGCTAAGCCAGAAGTCCTAGCACCACAGCTGGGGTGGGGGATGCGGTGAGCATCCCCTTTTTGATTAGTCTTTTTTCACAGAGTGCCAGAAATGGCATGGCTAATGATGAATCTCACCTTACTGAAACGTTTTGCCTTTGTACAACAGTAGTAACCGGCTCTTCTCCCACTCCTTGGCTCTGTGGGTGTTACTCACTGGGGCAGTTCTGAGTTTCTGGGAGCCTCCTATGCCCATGTCTCTCCTACATCCTGGGGAAATGTTCGTCCCATTTTATGGTAGATAATTCTAGGTTTAATCTGCTGACACTCAAAGTGGCTAGAGCCCAAATTTGTGAAACCCGGTTTGGCTTCTAAATGGTAACCACAGGTGGGGGGTGGGGTGGGTGCTCAGGACACTGTAAAGGCAGTACATTTTTGTAAATCCGTCGGGCAGCAGTTGTTAAAAATGAAAATGTAAACTTTAACCATTTCTTAAGATTTGTGGTAACTCATTTTTTTAAGATTTACGGTAAAGATAAAGACTTAAAAATTGTTGACATGATGATTACCCCTAAAACTAAGCTGTGGGGAAGGACTAAGTAAGCAACTACTTTATTGGAATGTTAGATTTTAATGTTACCCTGTTTTCCTAAACTTCATATTGATGGCCTTTCTTAATTTCAAACGTTGAATAATCAGTGCTGGATTGTGAGAAGTAGCTTGGGTATGAGCAAGTAGGCATAAGCAAGTGGGCACGCCCTCCTCAGCAAGCCAAGTGCAAGTTTTGTAGAGATCATTTTTAGGAGATGCCCCACTGTAGTCCTTGGTCTAGCCCCATTTTCTTTCCTTCTAGGTCTACTCACAAGAAGCAAAAAATTGTGAATTTTTGCCACGGAATAGAGACTAGGGGACAGCTGAAGTTGAGCATGGGAAATAAATACCTCAGTGCTATTAAGAGTTTAAGTGGCTACCAAATCTAGGCAATATACAGAAAATGAATTTTTTTTATTTTTTGTTTTTTATTTTTATTTTTTTGTAGGAAATTAATTTTTGGTTAGACGGTCAATACACGCCAGGTCCTGTGCTAGACAACTTTCTCTGTCACTTTGCTTTAATCAGTGAAGGAACTCCCTCTGTGAGGGAGAGAAACACTTTTGGAAATGGGGTCCCACAGCTAGTAAAGACAGAGTCTGAAACGAAAGCCTATCAGAATTCCCACCCAGTTCGTGCAACTCCTGGTTTTTGGAACTGGGCAGTAGTAAGCCGTGGATTTTAAAGGGTCCCCAGAATCTGATGTAGGTGAGGATTAATTTTACAAAAAGGAGTCCAGTGATCATTCCCACCTTTCTGAGCAGCCACAGTGTAGGCTCTTGAGCATCAATTTGCAGTAAAAATCTTTTGCCAAAGAGGTTCGAGGAGCACCTGGCTGGCTCAGTCGGTGGAGCATGTGACCCTTGATCTCGACGATGTAAATTAGAGCCCCATGTTGGGTGGAGATTACTTAAAAATAAAGTCATTAAAAAAAAAGAGGTTTGAGTCCCCTCTGCTTCCCAGAGGGTAGGCTGTTGGCCATGTCCATTGGATGTGAAATGGTGACAACTAGTACACTTAGTGGGTTGGCATCATCCGAAGATGAGCAAAGTGTGCAGGGTCCCGGAAGAGTTTTTACTACCTAATTCTGAGGTTGTGAGGACTTTAAAAATGCTGTGAAAACAATGAATTTGTGAATATGATTGAGCATCTGCAAAGTTTTAGAGAAAAGTGTTGTTTCATTCCCCACAGTCTCTCCTCTTCCTGCATCCAAGGATCTGCGTGTTCAGGACAGCCCCGACTCCTCCACCAGTCCCAGGGTAAAAGTACCACCCACTTCTGGGGAGGAGAGAACAGTGAGGAAGGAAGATACGGCCCAGGGCAAGAAACAGAAGATCAGGACCGTGTTCTCTCAGGCCCAACTCTATGTCCTCAATGATCGATTTCAGAGACAGAAATACCTCAGTCTCCAGCAGATGCAAGAACTTTCCAACATTCTGAACCTTAGCTATAAGCAGGTAGGGTGTGTTTTGTTCTCCTTGCAGTGACAAATGAAAAGCTCCTTTGCAGACGAGTATTACTAACATCTGTGTGCTCTGTGTTTGTGTACCCCCTACAAATAATTTTATTTATTTTATTTATTTATTTATTTATTTTTTTAAAAGATTTTATTTATTTATTTGAGAGAGAGAGAATGAGATAGAGATAGAGAGCACGAGAGGGAAGAGGGTCAGAGGGAGAAGCTAGACTCCCTGCTGAGCAGGGAGCCCGATGCGGGACTCGATCCCGGGACTCCAGGATCATGACCCGAGCCGAAGGCAGTCGCTTAACCAACTGAGCCACCCAGGCGCCCCAATAATTTTAATATGAAAGTGGGTTCTTTGTAACATTTCAAGACCATATTTTTTTTTCCTTTTTCCTAAGATTTTTATTTATTTGACAGAGAGAGGGCACAAGGAAGGGGGAGCGGTGGGCAGGGGGGAGCGGATGAGGCAGGCTCCATCCCCGGACCCTGGGGTCCTGACCTGAGCCCAAGGCAGACACTTAACGACATTGCCACCCAGGCGCCCCTCATGACCATCTTTAAATGTTCTCTTCAATTATGCCATAGTTGATTTAACCAGTTGTCCCTGTTGCACAAGCTAAAATGGCAAAAAGTTTTGCGATTTCTCCTTGATCAGAGGAGTTCTATATATTTCCATCTTCCAGGTTAGGAGAGTCCTTAACCAACACCGCTTCTCATTAAAATAAAAAAATGGAATCTTTTGTTTGTCTGTGTACAGTTGATTACTAATGAGGGTAATAAGTTTTCATATTCTTGCCTAATAGATATTTTATGGTTTTCTATCACCGGTGTCATACTGAGAGATAAGTCCTCCATTCCATAATTTTATAGTGTGTGGGTGTGTACACCTGTACATACATACATCTGGTCCTTCTTAATCTCATTTTCTAATTTATAGTTTATAAATCATCTGGAAATTGAAGTTTTGTGTGCTGTTATATAACTTGATAATTTCTAAATAGTTCTAGTGGTATAATTTTATAATTCGTGAGTTAAAATTACCACCATTATCCCATTAAATACAGAAGTGTGCTTAGGGGCGCCTGGGTGGCTCAGTTGGTTAAGCAACTGACTTGGGCTCAGGTCGTGATCCCAAAGTCCCGTCGAGTCCCGCACCGGGAATCCCTGCTCAGCAGGGAGTCTGCTTCTCCCTCTGACCCTAGCCCCTCTTGTGTTCTCGCTCTCTCACTCTCTCAAATAAATAAAATTAAAAAAAAAAAGCAGTGTGCTTATGGGGGGAGGTTTTTTTACTGCAAAGTAACCTTTTAACTGTGACTAGCAGCATGGCTCAACTATGAAAAGGGGGATGGGTAGACATCTACATGTGAACTTTCTAGTGAGGAGATAAGTAGTGTATCTTCTCTAACTGGTTAGCTTTATTAAAGCAGCCAGCTGACTCGAGGGGCTTTGAGATTCATTCACAGAAAATTGTTTCCAGATTGCAGAAAGGACTCTAGAAGGTTTCATCTTGTTCCTGAGCTTTAGATTCGGTCAGGGGAAAAAAATGTTGACAATATTCTTTGATCCCTGGTACATCCACACGACTGGTATTTTTTTTCCTGTCACTTTTTTGGTAGGTGAAGACCTGGTTCCAGAACCAGAGAATGAAATGTAAGAGGTGGCAGAAAAACCACTGGCCAAAGGAGAGCAAGAGTGTGACTCAGGTGATGG